ATCAGTATTTATAGTATAAGGGAGATTTCTATATTTAATGGCTCGCCCGTCAGGCCTGGGGGTAAGGATAGTTACCCCTCCCGAATGATGAATGTATGTTGCCTACTATTTTATTATATGGTCTTATCTTATGTTTGTATTCCCCCTTCCCGGTTTTGTGTGAGCCGCCCTGAGTCCCCTCAGGGAAAAGGGCGGCCTACAAATACTAATAAAACTGAAAAAAACTGAAAGTTAATGGGAAGCCAGAGTTATGTAACAAACATAACTAAATTAACAACTGCAGGGATTCATTTCACAACTGTGACAAGAAAGGTTGTAAAATGGGGCAAAATATATTTAACAACTATCTCACTTAGCAACATAAATTTTGGGCTCAATTGTGGGTTATAAGTCGAGGACTACCTGTACTTGTTTTTTAGAAACTTCTTTGTCTTCCCATAATTTCTAAATGTGAGGAATATCCATGTCACTTTTGAATCAAGCTTATATATCTATCAGTTCCTGTTCCCAATACTGTTCAAGACTGGACTTAACATCTTAAGTATTATGTTACTAACATATAAAATAAGTGCATTTATTCAGTAGTTTGAACCTTCTTTAGTCTTGATTACTTGTTGGAATTAGAATATAAATACATCTTGGCCACAGCTGTGAATTTTTTGTACCTGCTTATCAATCATGTACAGCAATTTAACTGCACCATTGTGTTAGACTTTTAAGCAGTTGTGCTAGTATTTCAACAAATCCTGCAGCTTTCTGGATAATATCAATATGAATTAACATTATAATGTATAGATTTGCAAACGAGTGAACAAATTGTAGTGTAGGTTATACAAGTAAATCTTGATATATCTTTTCATTAAATTTCAAATCTATAGAATAATAAATTGTACTCATTGAACATGTGAGAATTGAGGGGGGAAACGGAAGGAAGAGGTGATAGAAAGAAAATGGGTTATTGTCAGAATATGGCCCTTTTGAGAATGTGTCTCAAAGCATTCTCCATCTGTTTGATATCATTCTAGACTGTATATTCTTGAATGTATATTCTTGAATGTATATTCTTGAAGTATATTTTGTTTTCTAATACGAAAAAGCATAAAAACTGCATGTTTAAATAATGTAAAACCATTGCACATTTCTCCATCAGGATAGGCATATGTTTTAGTTAAATGTATTTTAAGACCATAGACATCAAGGGGTTAATTAATTTTTCAA